TATATATTAAGCTCACATGTAGTATCTTTTGTTAAATTTTGATAACCTCAAGTCAACTCACTACAATAAGGTATCGGCCTTCAGAAAAAGAAATAGAATTCGGGTATATGGAACGGATGTGCCAAATCCTTTCCAATCATTCGACGGCTTAACAGAACAATATTCCATATTTCGTTATATCAGAAGAAACATTGAGACTGCCGGATATGAACACCCAACACCAATACAGATGCAAGCTATTCCTGTTATTCTCCACGCAAGTACAATTAAAGGTTTTCTGATGCGTTTACTCTATTGTCATGCGGATTGCTGTTATAATAACAACGTATTCGCATTGTTATAGGGGAGAGATATAATGGGAATGGCGCCAACAGGGTCGGGAAAGACACTGGCGTATATATTACCGATTTTGCAGGATATGAGAAGACCAGAGAAAGTAGGATATAGGGCATTGGTTATAGCACCCACGAGAGAATTAGCACGACAGGTAACATAAAGATGTGCACATAATAATTACATAGATGTCCTCATTTTAATTCGATTATCGTGATTTCCTAGATCTATTGCGAGTTCAAGAAGATGAGTTTAAGTAGAAAATTCAAAATATGTATACTTACCAAAGCAACAGCAGCCACACAGGCACAAACACCTGAACTCAGACAGAAATATGGTAAGCAGGATGAGGCAATGTTATTAATATCTGTTAGATGAATTGTGTGATATGAAGCACTAATGCTCATTGACACACTATTTAGATATTCTGATTAGCACACCCCTTCGTCTTGTCCACGCTATCAAGCAGAAAGATATCGATCTGCACAAGTACTGTTATAATCATGAAGTTGAATTGGAAATTAGTTTGACGTTCTATTATTATATGTGAATCTAACTTTGTAATTTTATTAGTGTTAAACATTTGGTTCTTGATGAAGCAGATAGGCTTCTCGAATTGGGTTTCCTAGAGCAGACAGATGAAATATTTCACGCATGCTCAAATCCAAAACTCCAGACATATCTTTTTAGTGCGACATTACCGTCCGGTGTGGAGACTTTAGCAAACACTATTATGAAAGACCCTATTAAAGTCGTAATAGGAATCAAGTAAGATCTCTGACATGTAGACTATTATATCCTTTACACTTGTAATACATAAAATCTAATATTTATTGATTATCATTACCTAGAAACGCAGCAACAGATACGGTCAACCAAGAGCTCGTCTATGTCGGCCAAGAAGAAGGGAAACTCATCGCAATAAGACAATTGGTTCAACAAGGAATTAAGCCTCCGGTGTTGATATTTGTACAGTCTATCGAGAGAGCAAAAGAGTTATTTCACGAACTGATTTATGACGGGATAAACGTAGATGTTATACACTCGGAACGAACAAAAGCTCAAGTAAGAATAAATTTATAGTACAAATGAAACGTCGAGACCTTCATTAACATAACAAACTCACATCTTATTATAGCGTGATGCAATAATACAATCGTTTATGCAAGCCAAAATATGGATTTTAATAGCCACGGAACTCATGGCGCGTGGGATGGACTTCAAGGGCATCAACCTTGTTATTAATTATGACTTCC